GTTTCACTATCAAGACGTACTTTACTGAAAAAATCCTTGTAAAAAATGACAAGAAAAGGAAGCTGACTTGTTCTACATCCACAAGGGATTTTTGAGAAAAAATCTATGTGAGGACGAAGAGAAAGTGAAGACCCATCAATAAATTTAGGAGATTTTCGTCGAAATCATTTAAATTGAGGCATTTTATTTATCTGTTATCCTTAATATTTTCCGTAATAATTTCCGCAAATTAGCGCTTCATTTAAAAAACAACAAGCAGTGAAAAGAGCGCTATAATTTGGACGGAAGTCTTTGTAAACCATTTTTTTCGACCCACAAACTCAATTAATTTCAAAAAACAGTAACCCATTAAAACAACATAAATAAATCAATTTAGACTCTTCGGCCAGTTAAATAAAAAGAAAAGTTTTGAGAAAACGATAGTCTATGCATTTAAAGATTCGTATAAAAGACATTGACTTTCATCTCAATCTTAAACCCAATCGTAAATGGCTGCCGCTCGCAATAAACAAACGAATTTATTGAAAGTAAATTGATGATAATTTGTGTATTTGTGTTGTATGTTTGTTTATTCGATTTGTTTTTTAATTGTCGTGAGTTTTTCGTGTTTCTGTCGCAAAAAGCTGGAAAAGATGCAGACGACTATTTGTAAGGGAGAGTTTCAAATGACTGCGAATGGGGAGGTTCAAATACCTAGTCATTTAAGAATTTGTAACCAAATGTCGCATTTAAATATTAAAATCGCGATTGCATGTTGTTTTCCATAATTCCAAATTTGCAAGAAAAACATGTTAGAGCGAAAAATTAGCTGGTTAATTTTAAAGCTAGAGCGGTATTTAGTGAGAATATTTCTCGAATCAAATACGACATTAACAAATAAATAATAAATAAGTATATACCTACCTACATTTGTATATACAGGGTGATTAAAAATTGGCGTCATTCCTTTTAAGGGGTGATAGAGGCTCCATTGGGGAGCACGAGAAAAATATTTAAAATTATTTTTTCGAAAATTTCTAGAAGATATTAACAGTTGAAGATCGAATTTCAACTTTATTATTAAACATTATATTGAAATTGTTCCATGTTTAATTAAGGTAGCATAATGGAATAATTATTCCATTATGCTACCAAGCATCCAAAAAGAAAAATTACGATCTTTGCTTCAAATTACGAAAAATTTTTATATCAAAAAAGTTCTCTTTTACAATTTTTTGATGAAAAGTCACAGCGGCAATGTTGTTTGCACGAGAAAAATACTGAAATTTTTTTTTTCGAAAATTTCTAGAAGATATTAACAGTTCAAAGTCGAATTTTATCTTTGTTATTAGCATTATTTCGAAATTGTTTCATGTTGAACTCACACCAACAAAGGTTCAGTTCAGTCAAAAACAAAAAGTTCCAGGAAGATAGTGGACGACAATCGATGTTCGGGTTCCAGGCACACAGGAACAAGTATTGGACATAACCGAATCAGGGCCTTCCAGGGGCACTCAGAGCACAATAGCTGACACTTTCCCAAGCACCAAATAAATACCGAGGAAGGGCTACATTCCTACCACGTTTGTACGATACACACAGCACAAGGAGATACAAATAGAGCAGGAGTTAATTAACTGAATACGAGAAGCTGCTTGATAAGAGTGGATAATAAGGAGATTACACAGGCACTAGCTTGTTTGGTGTTGTATGGTTTATTTTTAAACGCCAATATTCGAGGTTATGAGAACAGGTTGACATTTCGTCAACAAATCTTGTTGAATTTACCGTTTATTCTTGTCTGTGTATCTTATTGTCACTCTGTATAATTCCATGGTTACCGGAGTTTTATATAATTACGAAGCAACAGGTATTTGCGCAATGTTAATTAGGCAGATTACCTTGAAAAACATTGCTGCCGTATTTCTGATATAGTTTTTTGCAAAT